TTCAACATTTCTTCATTAAGAAACACTAGGAATGGAAATAAGATTGGAACACACATCAGAAAATTCAGCTGTACTGAGGAGGCTGTGACATGTTAGCCAGCCAACTGTAAAATATAGTTAATTTACATAAATTGTGTTTTCCTTACTGTTTTTGTTTTGATTTTACAGTTCTAGAATTCTGTTCCTTTGAAATTATATCCCTCTGAATATAGCGAATAATTTATTTAGAAGATCCAAACACCATATCCCTCTGAGGTTATAGATGCCACATACTAAATCATGACCAAATTATCTATGTATTTGTTCATGGTATTTTTTCTCATACAGTAGTACTTTGGTTAATCAACAGTTCTGTTCATGAACAATTCAGTTCACAGACAAAAGTATTAGGCAAAATTTTGCATCCATTCCCAAACTGCATCTGATGGTCAACACAAATTGTGAAATTAAGTCACACTGTACTTAGAAAATTACTTCCTTATAATAAATCTTAAAATTAGAAAATGTGCTTTACTAATTTATTCTTGAGGAAGTATCTCACTATGTAGTTCAGGCTGACCTTGAACTCACTAGGTAGCCCAGGCTCGCCTCAACCTCATGGCAAACCTTTTGCCTCAGCCTCCCTTTTTCTGGGATTGAAGGTATGCACCACCACACCAAGCTGAAAATGTGCACTATGAAATTGTGCTATATACTCTATAGCATGGATATTAATTTTCCCTGTGAAAAAGTTCATTTACACATACTCTTTTCACATTTGGGAATGACAGTACAGAGTTTATATTTTTAAAAAATTATGTCTATGAGAAACTTACCACATATTATGAATTAAAAATGTTACTGAGTGTGTATGATTACTATTTTGAAAATAGTGATACCCATTGCTGTGCTAATTTAGAGTGATTTTATAACCACTTTATATTAAATTATTAAAAGATTTTCTATTTGTAAATATCAATCAAAAATAAAGTTGAATAAGCGGATGAGAATTTTGCAATTTGATTACTTTTGGGCAGCTGTGGAAAAAAAGAATTCCTATAAAGCCCTTATATCTTCACAGCACTTCTAAGCCTTTCTGGTGGTCATGTCTCTCTTAGTATGCCTCAGCAAAGGCCTAGGGCTGGGGACATTCTTCCCCTGAAATGGTTCAAATGTAGACAATGAATCTTGACTTCTTCATAATCTACATCATGCTCATAAGATGCCTACTGTGTAGACAGTGAGTCTTTATATCAATGGAACCAATCTTGTACATGAAAACATATATATTATTAATATAATGCTTATAATTGAAAATATATGTTAATTATATATTATTAATGCATCCCAATTAATAATTCCATGACTAGAATTCTTATTAGCTACCCCGCTACTATAACAAAGTAGATGATAGAGTATGTCCTCAGTGTCTTCACATTTTAAAATTCTTAACTAATTCTTTAAACGTTACCAACACATTGAGCTTACACTGAAGCAAATTAGTCAAAAACAAATAATGTGAATATGCAAGAAGGAATGTGACCGTTAAAGGATGTAAATGGGCATGTCCATTGCTACACATAGTAATTACTATAATTTTATGTATTTATGACAACCAGACAATTTTGTCAAAATCCCTTCTATTTGAGTTCAACATTATCAAACCACAATACTCTGACTAACAGTATCAATATCATCTTGGAATTGGTTGGAAATTACAGAATCCTGCTCCAGATCTACTGACTTGGATATTCTGGAGGGTGAGGCTAACGATATCAGTTTTAACACATGCTCTGTGTGATCATAATACCTGTTAAAACATAAGAATCATTGTTCTCATTTCAAAAATCTTCAGTTGAATGTGTTTCATGTCAAAATAGTTCATATACACTAATGGACATAGAAGCTGTTTCCAAGATTTAACTATTTTGAATTATCCTTTTATAAACATAGTTATCTATGTATCACTGTTATATGCTGTCTTTAACTATATAGTACGAGACTGCAATAAAGGATAGACAAGTCATTTGCCGGACAATAGATGCACCTTAAGACTACTGTGCTAAGTGAAAAAAAAATCACACATAAAAGCTTAAGTATCATATTGTTTGTCTTACATGATAAACTCAAAATCTTTCTAAAAAGCAAAATAAAAAATAAGTAGTAGGGAGCAGGTAGATAAACCTTTCTCAAATGCAAAGGGGATCAAAAGATCGAGGGAGTGAGGCAGGAAGAGAGGGTAAGGGGATAAAAAAAGACTTGAGATGTGTCAAGTACGTGTATCAATTCCCCACAGGGTATACAATGATTATGTACAGCAAACATGTACTCATGAAAAATAAACACGGAAAAATGATACACAGTTAGTACAATCTAATGAAATACAAATAAGAAATGAATAAAAATAATTGAAACATGCATAATTAACAAATCATTAAAATTCTCTCTCTGGACAACCTGAGAAACTACATAAAACTGTTCAGTTATTCAATTTTGAAATATTTAACAAGAATAATAAATTATTAGAAATGCAATATTAAACCAAAAAGCTTCATTTCAATGACCATTAAAAATTGTATACACGGGCAAAAATTTTCCCTTTGCAATTACTTAAATGTATTTTAGTACTTCATGTATCCATGTTAATGACAAAAAGGACAAGAATAAAATTATTCAAAGAGGAAGAGAAGCATTAGGATGATTTTAACTCATCAGAATCATTGAGAGACTATTACATTTCAAGCTCTCCTACTTTTTCCATTAAGGGATACACAAATTTTCAGCATTACTTTACATATAATCCTAAAATAATGTTTACATTAACTATATATAACTTAACTTTGTTTTTATTTTATTTGTGCTTTAGCAGGTTGAAATGCACTCTACTGGTTTATATTAGTCAATGCCTTCTTAAAGTACTGCTGAATGTTTCAGCACATGTATTAGCCCTCCTCCTGAACACTTAGTTTTATCTCCTTACATATCCAGTCTGAGTTTTCCACTTTCTAGTCTACACAATCCTCTCTTTTCAATTTCTGCATCCAGTTTATTGTAGGAAATCACCTCAGATGACTAAATTTTATCTAACTCACATTAATTTTAATTGGTCAGTCTATATTTTTCTAAACTCAATGCTTTGTTTATTAGTTTTCCCATATGGAAACATCAAAACAGATTGTTAACACAGCTCAAAATATTTCAGTTTTTATAGTATTTCTAACACTGAAATTTAAAAAAAAATATTTTTGCTTTTAAATTGCAATTAATTTAAATTTTAATGCATACAAAAGACAGTGTAATGAATGAACATCTGGATTTTTTTTTCTTGGAACAAAATGACTAAGAACCAGGCCAGGCAGGGTGGTGCACACCTGTAATCCCAGCATTTGGGAGGCTGAGGCAGGAGGATCACTGTGAGTTTGAGACCAGCCCGGGCTACATAGTGAGTTCCAGGTCAGTCTCAACTACATAGTAAGACCCCGCCTCAACAAAAAAAATGACTAAGAACCACTAAACATGGGTCATACCTGTTCATTCTAAATTATTCAATAGCTAATTATTTGCATATTGTGAAGGGGAAATGGGCATTAGAGCAAACAAGTAAATCCGGAGTTATTATACAAATAAAACTGAATGAAAAAGAAAATACAAATAATATATAAAAATTGAAGGTCTTTTCTAAAGTATTTTATGGCATAATGCAGAATTTCAACTGGATAATGCTCCTCCTCTAAATGTATATTGAATTTAAATTATCTTAAGCATATTCTCACACATTCATTAGATATGATTTACATAATATTAAATGTTAACGCTATCTCTCAAATTTAAGACAATGGAAATTAAACATCAGATCCTACTAAGAGTACAAGCTGCTTCTCCTTGGACTTCACGCTCCGAGTGAATTCAATTCAATTCCCACTGGGAATTCAAGTCCCAGTGAAAGCTGGTTCCCTTCTTCCAGCTACTCAGGATAAAACTAATTTATTTCTCTTTCACCACACCATGAACTTCAGAGCCCTTACACACTTACGTTCTACCTTCAAAGATAGCATAGAATTGGATTACTTTTTATCAACTCCACCATTTCTATGCTGGTCAGAGCTAGCACTACTTCCCACACACGTTTTACCACTTACTCTTAGTGAATCTTCTGTTTCCAGACTAATCCACCTTCCATTTAGTTTGGACAACTGTGTTCAAGAGTTGGTTTTTAAAAGTAAATCTGATCAGGGAAGCCTCATCTCCCATAGATGTAGTCCAAATGTATATCCTAACAAAGGTCCACATGCACATAAGAGACCTGTCCTCTCCTCCACTTTATAAAGCCCCTACCTGGGCTGTCTACTACATTCTGCACACACTGATGCCTTGTTGTTCTTTGCATATGCTAGGCAAGCTCTTTGCCCTGCTCCTCCCGTCAGCTCCTATGCCACAGACTCGTGATTTATTCTTTCACCTTTGTCCAGCAATTGATGGAATGTTAACCTTTCAGTGAAATCTTCCCCAGTGATTCTCTCTATTAACTGAAGTCAACCCCATCACTCTCTATTTTCCTTCGCTGATTTACATATTTCCTCAACATTTGCCTCCATCTCGCATAATGAACATCCGTGAATGTTTATTTCATATCTGTTAATATGGATAGACTGAAGTTCCCAAATATTTAGTCATATGTTAGGCTAGATATTTCTGTGACAGTATTTTTTAGGTAACACTAAAATTGAAATCAGGGGCCGGGGATTTAGCTCAGCGATTTGGTGGCCTGCCTTGCAAGCACAAGGACCCAAGTTCAATCCCCGGTACAAAAAAAAAAAAAAAAAAAAAATCAGTACACTGTGATTAAAGCAGATTATTCTCATAATGTGCTCATTGAGTTAGCTCGCTACCTTAAAAGAGAAAATATTGATGTCACCCAGGAAGAGGGGATTCTTCCAGCAGACTGGCTTTGGACTCTACTCCTAATCCTTCCTTGCATCTCTGGATTTTTTTGTTTGATATATATACACATACCTCTCTCTATATGCACATGTATACCAGACATACACACACACAAACATATTTATTATGTATATATACATATGTGAAAATTTTTCAAATAACAATAATTATGCCTCAGATAAACCTCATGGGCTATGATACTGCTACTGTGCAAAGCTTGCATACATATACGTATACTAGAATATAAAATGTAGAGTCCATGTGGAGTCCTCATTTTCCTTTATTTGTCCTGAATAATGCTTTACCTTAGTTAAACCTTATTTGTCATAGGAAAGAATAAATATAGTTGATTTAGTCCTATCTAAAGTTTTCTAAATGATGCAGAATCATATCATTTTCAATGTAAATGTGAAGAACTAGGTCTCAGAGAGGTGAGTGTCTTGGCTGTGCTACTCATACAACTTATAAAGAGAAATGATACTATTATTCATTATGAACTATTTATTTCCTAAACAAGGTTGAAACCTTGGTGTTACAGCTTATATCTAGAGGTCCCCCAAACCTCATGGGATCATAAGTGAGGTTTTTCAGAAGTGGCTGAATCTAGAGTGTGTGATGCTGGGGTCAAGGGTGTGGTGGTAGAATTGATCCACAGCGTGATGCTAGGATTAATATTGCCCCACCCTGGGTGTGAGTGCTACCCACCCTAAGGGTAGGTAGTCTGGATGTACAGGGAAAGTTAGAGAGGTATGTGGGTAGGGACACAGGTCATGACCTGGGTGGCTGATTGTTGCAGAAATGATCACATGCTTTCTTTGCACTGCGCACTTCAGGAAACTGCCTTTTGCGAAAATTTTTCATGCATTTACCACGTGTCTCTAGACCCTCTGATCTTTTGCTCAATCCAGAAACAAAAGTTAGTGTGCCCACTTCAGCACCACTTTTACAGAAACAAAGGCTGAGACCCTAAAAGACCTACATTATACCAATCAATGAAATAGTTATTTTTATTGACCCACTTACTCCTATAAGTGCGAGTACCCTTCCAAAAGATGCATAGGATATTCAGTCAAATTCCTCCTGCCTTGTAACATGCTACCTGGCAGCTTTCCCTGCATTATCGATATTATAAATAAACTTTTTCTTTGTACTAATTTAATTTCCGACTTCCTCGTTTTCTGCCAGCCCTTCTTTCCCATTTCTCATCTGAGGCTTTTGGCATCGAGCCCGCCTCACCTCATTTCTTCATTCTTCACAGGACTGTAGGAATGAACCTGAGGTTAAAGAGGTAGGAGACTCTTAGCCCCTCAAAGACCCTTCACAGAACCTATAGACACACTATAAGGAACAGGTGGATCACTGCTTGGCACTTGCTGTTTGCTGCTTTGTCTCTTACCTGCCATGAACTGTTTCTCCTCTGTGATTCCTGTCTCCTATGCCATCCTGCCTTGGAGCTAGCCAACTATGGACTGCAACCTCTACACACTCTGAGCTAAATAAACCTTTCTTCCTTTAACATTGGTTGTTGTGTACTCTGTCTCAGCAATGAGACACATGATAATTTTCAGATGTAGGTGACAAAACACATTTGTTTCACTTTTGGAGCATTAGGAGTCACTGTTTCTGGATCTATCCACTAGATCTTGGCCAATCAGCTGCAATCCCAAACTAGTACATTTTTCCTCTCAAAATACATTTTATTCCTGAATAGTATGCTCTTTGTCTTGTCTTCAGAATAAACTCAAGTCCATGTTATACTTAATTCGTCCTATTCTCAACTGTGATACTCATAACCCCACCTAGTCCCCTCTGGGTTCTCATGCCTTACATTGCTGTGTATATTTCTGAGGGCATGGTCATGCTCTTACATCATAAATAAGTGTTCAGTACACACTGTTATACACTAAGCATTTTGTACACTGAGTAGAAAGCAATGAATCTGACAACTCTATTTATGACTTCAGGAATCAAAGAGTAAGAGAAACAAACACACCAGTAGAAAATGGGTCAAATAAATAACAACAGGTGAAGAAAGACAAAATGTATATGTATAATTTAGGATGAAGTGATAATCCTGGATTATACAAGTCAGACAAGACAGTTCAGAAAATCCTTCCTGTAAAGATGACATTGAAGCTTAAGACTAAATGACAAGAAAGAATAAGCCAAAATGAAGAGTTTTATTTTGTTCATTCAATGTTTTAAAAGTCTTTTTTTATAATTTCCATAGTAATTCTCAAATATTAGTTGAAAATATTGTTTTTAGAGAAAGAGAAAACAATGTGTGTATGAAAATGCTCAGGATCAATATGAAATATCCTACAGCGTAAGTATTCATCCACTCTTTTCCTAATTGATCATTCACTTGTATATTTACATAGTGTTTGCTTTGACAAACACAGTATTGAGTTTTCATTAAATACCAGCTGCAACTCTAAGCAATGCGAGTAAAACAAAACAAAACAGAAAAAAAGCAAAAATCACTGCATTTTCTGGGACAACCTGCCATATGCAACATAGGGGAAGGGTTTACTTTGGCTCCTGATTTCAGCAGGCTCATTCTAATGTGGGCCAACTCCAAGGAAGAAATATCATAAAGGAAGAACATGGCCAGGGAAAGCTGCTCACCTCACAGTTGCCGGGAAGGAGAAAGAGCAGGGAATATCTAGAAAGAGAGAAAAGAACCAGAACAAGAATACAGGCTTCCCAGTTATCCCCTCAGTGAATTACATCTTCCCATCAGGCTGCACCACCCCACAGCATATTCAGCTCTGAAGTCAGCAATGAATGAATCCATTGAGAAGACTAGCAGCCGTCACGTCTGAGAAACTTCCCAAAGCCAGACCTCTGAACACAGGAGCCTTTCATGGGATGTTTTTTTAATATAAAGCATTACAAAAGTTACAACATTCCATTGAGAATGATATAAAAAATGTAAGCAAATACGTAATATAATATTGATTATCACACCAAGTAAAACAGGTAGATACAGATATGAGTAAATGTCATGTAGCATTCCTGGATGGTCAAGAAAGGCTCTGAGCAGGTCAATTTTGTGCAATGTGCTAAATGAAATTAATGATATATCAGTGCATGTATTTCAAGAAATGGAAATACCCAGTGGAAAGAGTCTGAGGCAGAGATGCGACCGGAAACTCATAATGACAGCACAGATGGCAAAATGGCTATGCATATTCCAAGGGAGGGCACAAGTGATGAGACTTGTACAGAGTCTAATATTTGTGCTCTATAATAAACCCGATTTATAATACTGCTTCTTGCATTTTATGTAAGGTTGATTAGTCTTGTAATGTGGCCTTAACGAAATAGTTATAGCTCATATTTATTCTGATGGAAGTAATGATCCTGCCACTGTGAGGAATATGAGGTTGGAAAGGGATTAAGGAAAATTATATATGGCTTTTTAAAAAATTTTATATTTTCTTTTAACTTTCCATTTTAACCATCCTCAGACTCTGGGAGACTGAGGAGGATCTCGAGGTTCAGTTCAGGTTAGGCAACTTAGTGACTGTGTGAGATTTTGTCTCAGAATTTCAAAATATTTTCAAAGGCCTGGGAATAGGTCAGTACAAAGGCCCTAGCTTCAATATTCAATACAGGACGTTCATACCTGAACATATATATTTTTATCAACAAAAGTTTATATCAAATTATACCAAATGATAAAAATGTAACCATCTTTAACACAGCTTTACCATGTGCTAAGACTTCAAATATACCTTCTGGATCCTTTGCAGCCAAATATGTAGTCTAACTGTGCACTGTAAAGGAAGATAAATGTTCAATAAACTACTACTCAATTAGTATATGCCATATTTTGTTTCAATCACTGAACTATTGTCAATATTATTTGTTAATTTAAAAACAAACAACAAAAAGTTGTGATGTAGAGAGAACTGAAGTTGTCAGATTTTGCCTGGTTCTAGCAAAAGTCATTTATATAATGTTGGGTGATTAACCTTTTAAAAATTCAATTTCCTACCAGGGATTTAGCTCAGTGGTTCTGCCGCCTGCCTTGCAAATGCAAGGTCCCAAGTTCAATCTCCAGTACCAGTAAATAAATAAATAAATAAATAAATTTCCTTATTTGTGAAATGATCACGACTAAACAATCTCTGGAGACATACCATATGAAATAGTCATTCTAACAATAGAATAAAATTAAATCTTTCAATTCAATTTTTCAATTAAACATTTCAGTTATAATTTGCATTATATCATTTTGAAAACAAATGTCATCAATAGACATTTGCAGGACCCACGAAGTCTTCTTTAGTTTGCAGTTCATAACAGTCATTGAATTTTCTGGTTACTTTGCGTTAGACTGACCCTCAGATGTCAGCAAGTTAAGAAATGTCTATTTGCTTCAGAGTATGAACTGTAGTGATCCAACAAAAACCTGGCCTTTTTATTTACCACTTAGAATTCCTGACACCATTGAACTGTATAAAATTATTCTGCACTCTGAAACAGTCTAAAATGACAAAAAATATAGCATTAACTTTCGTATATGATAACAGATACCCCCATGAATGGCCCAGGTTATTCAAGAAGTCTAGTACTTTCAGCATTTGCCACATCAGAACTCTCTCAATCTTATATCCAGGCTGTCTGGTTCATAGTTTCACCAACCAGAGACAGATTATTTTCTCACCAATGTGTATATCAGTAGACATATTCATTAATCAAATGAAAAATTATTGCTTAAATATAATTTATTCATAGTCTTTCAGCCAAAGCTACTGATTGGACCATCAAGATTATCCCAAGTGCAAATATATCATAATCTACCATCAACACCACTGCAAGAGAGCCCAGCAGCAAAGTACCAAAGTGATTATGCAAATACCAGAGCAATTGACTTATCAGTCAAACCCAAACCCAGGATGCCTGGGAGACATATTTCAATAAAAAGAGATGGACTCTATCTCAGCCTCACTGACATTAATAATTAATGATTAATCAGTTTCTGAAGACTTGCTAACAGCAGAAGGAAATATAGAATAAGATGGATTCTCTCACTTTGGATTTAACATTACTTTTCTCTCAGGCTTAATGTAATCATTTTGTTTTGGAAGACCTGATAATTGACCAGCCATTTACTTAAACTTCCTCAAAGGCTATCAATAACCCTCCCAAGGGTCCATTTTTGATAAGAAGAGGTTAAGTTCAATTGCCTCTTGATTATGTATGCAGT